GATTATTTGTTTTGAATATACTGATGAGGCAATTGTTGACTGATTTGGTACTTAGTTGATGTGTATTATTACTTAATATTGATATTAACATTGGGAAATGAATATACTTCCCTCTGAATATAGTAATTGGGCTTACGGTTGTCGAGTACAAGTTACGTGTACAAGCTACTTTCATGGTATTGGAATGTCTAATTAATTTGTTGTTTTGACCTGAACATATTAAATAAATTATCAGTTGGATAATTGTGTAATTAAAATATTCTACGAAAGAAAACTCATACATCCGATTTATACAGATTACACCGTGCAATATTCCACTATATTTTCCAAAAACTGAGATGTTGCGGTTAAACCTTTTCCAACTAAAATTGATTCAATGTACATTTTATATGATTTTGATCGTAACACAAAACATTTTAGAATTAATAAATTAATTTTTTTGTAAAAAAAATATTGTAAAAGATGATTCGCAGATTTGTATTTAGTATATCAAAGTTCAGAAGAATTTCTTATTAGGTGTTAGAATGTGAAACAGACGTACAGTTATCCTTATTTACGTAAATAATTTATTATTACCTGCTCACAATTGTTTGAATGAAACTGATGATACAGGAAATAAAAAGCCCGAAAATACATTTCGCCGGTCTCTTTTATGTCTCGTCTCATTCGATTACAATTTTCTTCGAAGAAGTGGAGGCCGTTGCGCACGAATGATTGAATTTTTATACTCGTCCGGGTATTTAGGTTTAGTTCGAGGTCGTTATTTCTGCTGTTACATTTTTCTCGTTCATTTTTTGCTTCTGATACGAACAGCTGTGAGCCAATCGTCGATTGAAGAAGTTAAAAATCTTTCGTTGAAATGAGAATCCTATTTTTCAAATTATTAACAACAACTGATTCTTCGAGCAGCGTCAATACTTTTGTTTATGTTTCTTTTAACAAACTCAGGCCTATAATAGTTGGTAACGTTATTACTGTGGCCCATTAAATTCCTGTAACTAAAAGAGATATATATATTTATTCAGAGATATTAAGATGGTTTTAATGGAAATCGTTTGTATATATTTAATTCGATATTATGACGATATTATCGAGCCATGTATTTCAATTCGTATAAACATTCTAACCGTCTCTATACAATACTGTACGCATTGAAATTATTCGAAATTAACAGAGGTTTAAATTATCGTACAGTTCCTGGTTCTATATGTAACGCGTTACGATGCATCATGACCTCAATGCAAAAAATAACGTATTCAATTCGCCGAGCAGCTTATTCCTGTTCGAACTTGAATAAGCCAAGTATAAAATGCTGCTAAGTATTAATGTTCACCGAATGTTTTCGCAAATGATTCGACTGCATAATGAAATACAAGGTCAGCATTATTATGTCAGCGTTTGGAAATCATCGATTCGATTAGCTGATGTACTAGGCAGCTCATAGGGAAGGATTCTCGAAATAGGGCCATCTCCGTTTCTTTCTCGTTCATAGTCAGATAAATTTTTTGTATAATTATGGAGAAAGCGGGAGAAAGTTTTCTATGTCTTTCGACATTCAACTTTATCCGGAGCGATACAAGCGAGCCCACTTCTTCAAAGACTGTTCTCGGCTCGACACGTGCGCTATAATTTTCGAACGATCTCTCGATCGTTTATCGATCGGTCGATTCCTACGGAGTTCCATGGTTTATGACCCAGCGTTTTCGAGAAAGAAGTTTCGAGGCTGGTGTTCGATTCACCTGTAAATTTCGCGCGAGCTTCAATTCGCGCGATCGCGTTTGAACCGACTGCGCGTCGTCGAATTCATCGAAACACGATGTTCCGTCTTGCAACGGAATTTTCCGGCTGTGTCCGCCTGACTTTCTCCGGGACGGACTACCTTTCTTCAGTCCCTAAAGAACAGTTTATTTACGGGGAACCTTCGGTGCAGCGTGGCAAATTGACGGTCCTTCAACGAACGACGTGCAGTTGACAAAGGTCACGTTCGATGGCCTTCAATTTCGTAGAGCCTTCGCCTGCAGTTTCTAAATTTCTGATTCCTCCAGCACGCATCCCTTCGGTCACCCTTTCCGGGATTTCTTGCTACCTGCGGCACTGGGTACGACCGGGACTCCTAAGGTCCCTTTCCACCTCGCGATCAACTAATGATCTTCAAGTTTTCTCTCGGCGAGAAACATGTAAAAACGAGAACTCTTGACCACCTCGCGTCAGTCATTTTTTATTCCTTCGTAATCTCGTACATATCGTTCAACGTCGCTCGTCACTCTAGTCTACGTTTAGTTCAGTCTATCAATTCACGATCTATCAGGTAAAACAGTTGTGTATTTTTAAGTAAACGGACAACGATATCGTCCTGTTCCGTCGCGCAGCGTAGTCGGACTTACAACCCGATAGACAGTTAATATCGCGGAATAATATCAGGTGCTCACACGACGCACCTCTACACACGAGAAGAGTTCATTAAAATGCTACGTTGACGTGCAGTGTCAGAACTTCACAATCGATATATCAGCGGGAGGTGTGTTGTGAAATTCGCAATTCGATAAATTGATTAGACCCTTTTTTTATAGCTGTGCCAATAAGTGATCAAACGTTACATTATTTCCAAAGTTAATCTGTGTCTGAAAAGAATGGATTTTCAAAAATGTTTGTATTTAATTGACAACGAGATTGTTTGTAAAATACTGAATTAGTCGACGGTCTAATTGTGCACGTAAATTATAAAACACTAATTTTGCCAATTTTATTAAATATTATATTTATTGTTTTATTAGACCCTTTTTTTATAGCTGTGCCAATAAGTGATCAAACGTTACATTATTTCCAAAGTTAATCTGTGTCTAAAAAGAATAGATTTTCAAAAATGTTTGTATTTAATTGACAACGAGCTTGTTTGTAAAATACTGAATTAGTCGACGGTCTAATTGTGCACGTAAATTATAAAACACTAATTTTGCCAATTTTATTAAATATTATATTTATTGTTTTATTAGACCCTTTTTTTATAGCTGTGCCAATAAGTGATCAAACGTTACATTATTTCCAAAGTTAATCTGTGTCTAAAAAGAATAGATTTTCAAAAATGTTTGTATTTAATTGACAACGAGCTTGTTTGTAAAATACTGAATTAGTCGGCGGTCTAATTGTGCACGTAAATTATAAAGCACTAATTTTGCCTATTTAATAAATATTATATTTATTATTTTATTAGACCCTTTTTTTATATCTGTGCCAATAAGTGATCAAACGTTACATTATTTCCAAAGTTAATCTGTGTCTGATTTATTATACCTAATGTTTCGTTTCGGCCGGTACTAATCTAATTCTGCAGCAATAGCGGGATTATTTGTTTTGAATATACTGATGAGGCAATTGTTGACTGATTTGGTACTTAGTTGATGTGTATTATTACTTAATATTGATATTAACATTGGGAAATGAATATACTTCCCTCTGAATATAGTAATTGGGCTTACGGTTGTCGAGTACAAGTTACGTGTACAAGCTACTTTCATGGTATTGGAATGTCTAATTAATTTGTTGTTTTGACCTGAACATATTAAATAAATTATCAGTTGGATAATTGTGTAATTAAAATATTCTACGAAAGAAAACTCATACATCCGATTTATACAGATTACACCGTGCAATATTCCACTATATTTTCCAAAAACTGAGATGTTACGGTTAAACCTTTTCCAACTAAAATTGATTCAATGTACATTTTATATGATTTTGATCGTAGCATAAAACATTTTAGAATTAATAGATTAATTTTTTTGTAAAAAAAAAATATTGTGAAAGATGATTCGCAGATTTGTATTTAGTATATCAAAGTTCAGAAGAATTTCTTATTAGGTGTTAGAATGTGAAACAGACGTTGTACAGTTATCCTTATTTACGTAAATAATTCATTATTACCTGCTCACAATTGTTTGAATGAAACTGATGATACAGGAAATAAAAAGCCCGAAAANAATTCATTATTACCTGCTCACAATTGTTTGAATGAAACTGATGATACAGGAAATAAAAAGCCCGAAAATACATTTCGCCGGTCTCTTTTATGTCTCGTCTCATTCGATTACAATTTTCTTCGAAGAAGTGGAGGCCGTTGCGCACGAATGATTGAATTTTTATACTCTTCCGGGTATTTAGGTTTAGTTCGAGGTCGTTATTTCTGCTGTTACATTTTTCTCGTTCATTTTTTGTTTCTGATACGAACAGCTGTGAGCCAATCGTCGATTGAAGAAGTTAAAAATCTTTCGTTGAAATGAGAATCCTATTTTTTAAATTATTAATAACAACTGATTCTTCGAGCAGCGTCAATACTTTTGTTTGTTTCTTTTAACAAACAAACGGCCTATTATAGTTGGTAACGTTATTACTGTGGCCCATTAAATTCCTGTAACTAAAAGTGATATTTATTCAGAGATATTAAGATGGTTTTAATGGAAATCGTTTGTATATATTTAATTCGATATTATGACGATATTATCGAGCCATGTATTTCAATTCGTATAAACATTCTAACCGTCTCTATACAATACTGTACGCATTGAAATTATTCGAAATTAACAGAGGTTTAAATTATCGTACAGTTCCTGGTTCTATATGCAACGCGTTACGATGCTTCATGATGTCAATGCAAAAAATAACGTATTCAATTCGCCTAGCAGCTTATTCCTGTTCGAACTTTAATAAGCCAAGTATAAAATGCTAATAAGTATTAATGTTGCTAAGTATTAATGTTCACCGAATGTTTTCGCAAATGATTCGACTGCACAATGAAATACAAGGTCAGCATTATTATCGTTTGGAAATCATCGATTCGATTAGCTGATGTACTATGCAGCTCATAGGGAAGGATACTCGAAATAGGGCCATCTCCGTTTCTTTCTCGTTCACAGTCAGATAAATTTTTTGTATAATTATGGAGAAAGCGGGAGAAAGTTTTCTATGTCTCTCGACATTCAACTTTATCCGGCGCGATACAAGCGAGCCCACTTCTTCAAAGACTGTTCTCGGCTCGACACGTGCGCTATAATTTTCGAACGATCTCTCGATCGTTTATCGATCGGTCGATTCCTACGGAGTTCCATGATTTATGACCCAGCGTTTTCGAGAAAGAAGTTTCGAGGCTGGTGTTCGATTCACCTGTAAATTTCGCGCGAGCTTCAATTCGCGCGATCGCGTTTGAACCGACTGCGCGTCGTCGAATTCATCGAAACACGAGAAGAGTTCATTAAAATGCTACGTTGACGTGCAGTGTCAGAACTTCACAATCGATATATCAGCGGGAGGTGTGTTGTGAAATTCGCAATTCGATAAATTGATTAGACCCTTTTTTTTGTTGCTGTGCCAATAAGTGATCAATCGTTACATTATTTCCAAAGTTAATCTGTGTCTGAAAAGAATAGATTTTTAAAAATGTTTGAATTTAATTGACAACGAGCTTGTTTGTAAAATACTGTATTAGTCGGCGGTCTAATTGTGCACGTAAATTACAAAGCATTAATTTTGCCTATTTTATTTTATACGATTTAGTACAATATTATATTAGTATAATATTATGAGAGGTTTTATGCACGAAATCAGTGTTCCTTTTATGCTAGAAACATTCGTGTAGGCGCATTAATAACGTTTCGGTAAATTATAGTAATGGATTTGTGAAATTACATATCGTCATTATTGGTGCGCCAATGGTAACTCAAAGGAGCATGTGTTTTCTTTGAAATCATATATTTATGACTGTGTCGTCCATGCAGCTCATTATTAATTATATTATTCGTATTAATATATGAAATAACGATTGTATTACATAATGTAAGTTAACGTGCGTCAAGTAAATAATAATTTCAACAAAGTGCCACAATGATCATTATATTATTGTTTGGTAGTGTTGTACTAAATTTTTTTTCGAAAATGTATTACAGTAGAGACTCCTTTATCGGAGCATTTATTTTTACAACAGTCTGGTATTCAAACGTTCCATTATTCAATTATTGTATTATTTAGATTGTTATTATTATTATTTAGATTATTTAGATTTATTGTATTAATAGATACATATCGCCTAGTATAGAACTTCAATAAAATTATTAGATAATATAATGTTTTGGTATCAGGATATTTCAAAAATAAACCTTCGGATAAGAGAGTCCCTAGGGTATTTCAAACGTGAAAAATACATCAGCAGAACATTTGTTAAAAATAATTGTAAAAGTAGATGTGAAAGTAATTTTACGTGCAAAATAATTCCCAAAAAGATAGATTTGTACAATTTCTTATTGTAATCATTGTTTCTCTATATTACGCAGGGCTAATAAGGCAGTCAAAAAATTTGTTTTCTGGAGATAATAATTAACTATGGACACGAAGGATTTCATTGACTTCGGAAAGGCTGTTATCGATTTTGTGGCAAACTATACCGAGACCATAAGAGATAGAAATGTTCTTCCGGATGTCGAGCCGGGTTATCTCAGTGAATTGTTACCGGAGGAGGCACCTGAAAAAGCAGAAACTTGGCAAGAAGTGTTGGATGATGTACAGAAGTACATTATGCCGGGGGTGAGTTAAGTGAATAATATCCACATCGGGAATATCGAGCAATAAAAATAGCTAATGTTCAATTTCTAGAAAAAAGTAACAAAGAATTATAGTACTTCTATCTTAGATTATTATTTAGTAATTAGTAAGATACAAAATCAGAGTATGTACATATTAACATCTAAAGCAACCGTTTTATTCTTTTTTACGTAGTTAGAGCATAAATTTGGTCACAAAAATATTTAGTTATTAATAATAAAATAAATAAATAAATAATAATAATAATAATTATTATTATTTTATCATTATTTTATCTACATTATTATCTTATCTTATTTCTTTGTATCACTTTAGTATGAACATACTTGAACATAGTTGACATTCTTTTTTATACCATTAGGTATTATTTAGCTGTTATTTTTACTGGACGTATGCTGTTCTATTTTGTTGTATGTAATTAGGTAACTTTTGTTAAAAAGGTATTTTGTTTTGTACCATCAGATATTATGTAGTTATTATCATTATTGATTGCACATTAACATCTTAAGTAAAGATTTCCTTTTATATTATGTAATTGGGTATTTCCGTTGTATGAGCAGAAATTTGTTACTTTTTACTAATATAATTTATGTTTAACATTGTTTTTGCACCTTTAGGTGACTCATTGGAACTCGCCTCATTTCCATGCGTTTTACCCAACGGCAAACTCTTATCCCGCTCTTGTCGGAGACATCGTGTGCAGTGGAATCAGTTGCATCGGATTTTCATGGCTCGCCTCGCCTGCATGCACCGAGCTTGAAGTCATTACGATGAACTGGCTCGGAAAATTAATTGGATTACCAAAGGAGTTCCTGAATTGCGACGAAGGTCCCGGTGGAGGCATTATACAGGTGGACACAATCTCTTAAATGAATCATACTCCTAAAACAACAGAAGTTTTGATAAATTTTAGGTCTAATTTGCACAAATGGTGCACGTACTAGCTTTATAAAGTGTTTAACAAACTATTGATTGTCAGATAGAAATGTTGAGATTTGTGTTACGATGTTTGACGTTTTTGTACATATCATTAAACAGATAAGATAATTCTATATATATAATTTAAACCGAGAGATAAGTTACTATTTAATCATAGACGATTCAAACGCGAAATACCAATGTGTTTGTTCATAGTAAACGTTTGATAACTTTAAAAATTGAAGATTATTTTTTATTTGATCCTTAGAATTATATAAACGAAGATTTTGATAATTTAAAGAAAGAAAAAAAAATGGGCTCGTCCGGGATTTGAACCCGGGACCTCTCGCACCCTAAGCGAGAATCATACCCCTAGACCAACGAGCCGTTTTTAACATAGATGGTAAAAGTTTTTCTAGACTCCTCCTTTTCTTTTACTAACAACTAACGATACAAGACTGATAGCATATAAATCTCTCTCCCTAATAACGTGTCTAAAACATATCATATTACTATAGCTAGCTATAGAGTTTATCAAAGTTGATAACTAATAGCTATCAAAATTTTTATTATTAATGTTAAAAGTATTTTTCAGTAGGATTATTCTCTGTATATTATGACGGAAATGAGAAACATAAACTTACTTTGAAAAAAAAACCAACGAGCTGCTTCGTGCTATCGATTCATATTAACACAAAGATACTTAACAAAATTTTCGAAAGATTATTTATAATATTATTACAATGAAGAAGCATTTCTCTCATTAAATTGCTATATTGTATATATTTGCTATCGACAGTTGTGTAAAATGTTTCTTTTACACTGCCATAGCAACAACGTGACAATATTTTCAATATGGATGGTAAAATTTTCATTTCAATCCTTCAGAGACATAAATATATGTTTCATATTTACACTGTAAAATAATATATATAACTAAATAACTAAGTAACTAAATTTGATTAAATTGTAAATGAAGTCATCTTTATGAATAAATAGTAAATAGTATGTGTTTTAATTATCTTTAAAATAAAGTCTTTGTTGAACCATTTTCGCTAGCTATCTCAAAGTATTAAATAATTGTAGTAATCTGCAAAAGGTATCTCAAATATTATGCAATACTAATTATCACTTTTATTTCATTTATTTAGGGATCAGCAAGCGAAGTTACCTTCTTATGTTTATTAGCAGCAAAGGAACAAACAACACGTCGCATAAAACAGCTTCATCCTGAGTGGGACGAAAGCTTCATCAAATCGAAATTAGTTGCATACACGTCTGGTAATTATGTTACTTGTATTTGTATTATACTATTTATATTTAATAAGTATTTTGTACTTATTAAACTATGTTCGGAATCTAACTTTCCTTTCTAGTTTGAAATACAGTGGAACTAAGGGCGATATCAAATCAAGATTTAATCAAATTGGGATTTTCTAATTCAGAACTATATTTTATTTATTTAAGATATTATATATATAATATTTTAAAAATAATATTTTATATAAATTATATATTTATTAAATTATATATTAAATTTTTTAATATATTTATTAAATTATATATTATATTAATTATATATTTATTAAATTATATAAAATAATATTTTATATATAAAATCAAGATTTAATCAAATTGGGATTTTCTAATTCAGAACTATATTTTATTTATTTTCGACACAGATCAGTCGAATTCATCGGTTGAAAAGGCAGGGATATTGGCGTCGGTGCCGATGAAACTTTTGCCAACCGACGAAAAATGCTCTCTTCGAGGTGAAACATTACTGAAAGTAATCGAAGACGACTTGGAGAAAGGTCTGATACCATGTTATGCGGTGGCCACTTTGGGTACCACTGGCACCTGTGCTTTCGATAACCTTGAGGAATTGGGTCCCATATGCAACGAACACAACGTATGGTTCCACGTAGACGCCGCTTATGCAGGTCATTAATTTTTCCACAGTTTTCATCGTACGTCTCCGTATTCATGCAGATTCGATTTCTGAAATCAATTCTTTGATTGAAACTGTTTCCTGACAAAGTTACAAAGGATTTAGTAAGATCTAATGATCTTTGGTAGTACATATGTACTTGGAGAAATTGATGAAAGTATATTACTGTATTTTCAGTTTGTTTAAATAATTCATTGCAGTTAACGAACAAACGCTTTTAATATATAATAATCAAAGACTAAAACATTCAATATTTACGAATAGATTTTATACTTTTACACACTTTTCTTCATTCTTTAGTCGTCACAACAATTTCAACGCTATATATACAAACACGATAAAAAATGTTCAATATCGATTACAGAAACTTAACGTTGATCAATCTCACAAATACATTAACAATAAATTATGGAACTTTTCTAAAGTGTACGAAATGAATGAATTTCCGCGTTTGCTACCACTGAACAATATACTTTACATCGTCATTCTTCTACGAAACATATCTTCTTCAAGAAACATTATAAAAATCTAATCTTGCTCTAATTATTGTCGAATCAATTAGATTTATGAGAATTATACAATTTCCTCTAAAGAATATTTGTTTTCACAGGTGCCGCATTCGTATGTCCCGAGTATCGACATTTAATGTCCGGCGTCGAGTATGCCGATTCTTTCAATATGAATCCACATAAATGGCTCCTTGTAAATTTCGATTGTTCAGCGCTTTGGTGCGTGCAAATTAATTGTCAAACAAAAATACCGTAAAGCTTTTCTGTTACATAAATTGAGAGTATTCTGCATCTGCTGGTGTAGTTGTGTATTGACCAACTGAATTAATCAATTTTAATTACCGGTTATTGAAATTTTCTTGATTATTCGAATTGTGTAATATCTTCCTTTGATCGCATATAATTATGTTATACACACTGACAGACGTGTAGAAGTATATAAGTCAGCTTGAAATGAAAATAGTCCGAACAACGCGATACCCGAACAGAGCTCTTGCAGAGAACCGCAATTTATTTAATGGAGATTGTATCGTATTAATTACGAAATAAAATCGATCTCACGTGACTGTTAATTTGAAATTTCGTTTAAAGGGTGAGGGACTCTAGACGACTGATCGAATCGTTTAGCGTAGATAGAATTTATTTAGCTCACGACAAACAAGGATTAGCTCCAGATTATAGGGTGAGTTATCTGTTTGGAAGGAATACGGAAAAAAATCGTTTGTCATATTATATTATAAATATATTATATATATAATAATTTTGGAAATTAATAAATTCTATGAAAATGCGAATATAACATGACAGACGATTTATATATAATATTAATATATTTATAATATAATATTTATAATATTTATAATATTAATAATATTATAAATATATTAATATTATATATAAATCGTCTGTCATGTTATATTCGCATTTTCATAGAATTTATTAATTTCCAAAAAATTATTATATATATAATAATTTTTTGGAAATTAATAAATTCTATGAAAATGCGAATATAATATGACAGACGATTTATATATAATATTAATATATTAATATTATATATAAATCGTCTGTCATATTATATTCGCATTTTCATAGAATTTATTAATTTCCAAAAAATTATTATATATATAATAATTTTTTGGAAATTAATAAATTCTATGAAAATGCGAATATAATATGACAGACGATTTATATATAATATTAATATATTAATATTATATATAAATCGTCTGTCATATTATATTCGCATTTTCATAGAATTTATTAATTTCCAAAAAATTATTATATATATAATAATTTTTTGGAAATTAATAAATTCTATGAAAATGCGAATATAATATGACAGACGATTTATATATAATATTAATATATTAATATTATATATAAATCGTCTGTCATATTATATTCGCATTTTCATAGAATTTATTAATTTCCAAAAAATTATTATATATATAATAATTTTTTGGAAATTAATAAATTCTATGAAAATGCGAATATAATATGACAGACGATTTATATATAATATTAATATATTAATATTATATATAAATCGTCTGTCATATTATATTCGCATTTTCATAGAATTTATTAATTTCCAAAAAATTATTATATATATAATAATTTTTTGGAAATTAATAAATTCTATGAAAATGCGAATATAATATGACAGACGATTTATATATAATATTAATATATTAATATTATATATAAATCGTCTGTCATATTATATTCGCATTTTCATAGAATTTATTAATTTCCAAAATTATTTTTCGATTTTCAGAATTGGCAGATTCCTTTGGGACGGCGTTTCCGTTCCTTGAAACTGTGGTTCGTCCTGCGACTTTATGGTGTTGAAGGACTGCAGGAGCACATAAGGCGGACATTACGATTAGCACAAATGTTTGAGCAGTATGTCAAGTCCGATAATCGATTTGAATTGGTGATCGCGAGATCCATGGGTTTGATTTGTTTCAGACTGAAGGTACAGTGTCTCTCAATTTTGTTTCATTTCAATTCGAACTTTTATTTGCACTCCAATTACTTTTTTGCGTTTTTTTAAATTCTTTAAACATATTTACGTATTGATAATGCAATATTATACTATAATGTTTCACTTAAAACTAAATGTGAGACTTCACAACTTAGAATTACTATATGATTTAACAACATGGTATAATAACAACTATAGAATTATTACTGTTAAAGCATATGGCGATCATCGATGTTGAAATATTATAAATAAAAGACGTGACGAGGATCTTTATGCAAAATTAAAAATTGATTGCTCTAGTAATTTTATTTCAAATTACAGCTACTTATTTTTACCATGAGATACGCGTCTATAAGAAATGTTTATTTTTCAGAATTCTAACGATCTTTTTAATTTTAGGGCGATGACAAATTGACCAAGGAGTTATTAAGCCGTTTGACAGTCGAGAAGAAAATTTATGTGGTACCAGCGACGTTTCGCGAGAAGTTAATCGTTCGTTTCGTAGTGTGCAGCAGATTGAGCCGAGAAGAGGACATTGCGTTTGCGTGGAACGAGATTACGAAACAGGCAACGGAAATTTTAAGATCGCCAGAGGAGCCATTAATATCTTCCGCGAAATCTGCCACTGAAATTGCGACGAGGATAGAACGTATGAATTTGGAAACGAAATCGCCAAAAATATCGTAATATTCGTTCATTTAAATTTCATTGCAAATATGGAGCACAGATGATTGTTGCTGCTTCTGCTATAAGGCACAGGGTAAAATCAGGCACGTATTATCTGCCCATGAAAGTACAATAACAAGAAAGTATAACAGGCGCTATCTATGCGAAACAGCTGGAAACTGCCACCAAATTTAATTCTGTTAAAAATATCAGATGGGATCACTGTACATTTTTAAAGTATATTAGGTTTATGACCAGTGGTGCCATATATTGACTGAATTAGTATTAAGTTTGGTAGATGTTCTCAGCCATTTCGCCTAGATGCCGCGTATTATTCTTTCTCAGAAAACATTTGCAGTTGGTAAATTTGTTTAACAGTTTAAGCGTTCTGTCAAATTGTTAAATGGCGCTGTACCGAAAAAATTTCAAGATTTTGCCATGAGAGACGCTGCCGTTTGTTGCCAGGAGCAGATTATTCGGGTCGGAATGTAGATTGTGTTTTATTGTAAAAGCGGCAAGAATCATCTGTTCACTATATATATATATATATACACAAACAAATTTTTGTTGGATGAAGCTAATGCAGTAGAGTCTCCTGAAAATGTCTGTATATTCAAAATGTTTAACAGAAATGTAGAACTTTAGTTGAATTGAAATTAATGTGTCGGATGATTAGAGGCATTCTGGATAATCGGAGCTCTACATTAAATTAATCGTGCAGTAGAATCTGTAGATTATCTTCCTTTTGCTAAGAGTTTCTTTATTCGAAACGGTAGAACATAGTTCTATTACGTTCACAGTGTTATATAGGTGTATAATTAGCAGCGAAGTACGAAGTACTTTTCAGAAAAATTCTTTCTACTTTTGTATATTTACAAACTTAAAAACTACAGATTTTACACTTACAATTAGGTTTAATAAATAATTCGTGTTTTAAGATCGAAAAGAACGAAATTGTGCGTAATGTAACTTAAGTATTGTACACTGTAATATCATAAGGAAATGATTTTGCAGAGTAATGTTCAAAATAAATTCTAACTGTATTCTTTCACAGCATTGTCATTGCTGCAATTTTAAACGAATTCCGAACATTCGTGTTTTCCTTGTACACAAGTATCCGTGAAGCATGATAATACGACAATATAAAGAATATAAGATAAGTTAATAGTAGAATGTAGTTTTGAAAATCGTATATCAATGACCATGATCAAAGAAGTTGCCATAGTCGGCTATGACACGCCATCGGAACATCAATCGAACGTCATTTTGGCAATGGTCGTTTGTTTGCGCGTGTAAAATGGTCACCTCGTAGCAACGTTTGCCGCTGAGGAACCTAATAACACCAAAACTCCTACCAAGATTAGGCATCCTCATCTTGATGAACAAATTCACCAGTTTATGTCAAATGAAATGCTACTTTCGAGGCAGAAGCTAACGCTTCAGAAGTTCCAAAGAATTTTAGTAAGGTAGATTTCACGAGCATTGCAATCATGTTGTGACGTTTAAGTGTTTAAACACGTAACCTCGATTTCCTACTTTCTTATCAATGTAACACATAGACCACTCGCGTAACAAACGTCTATCTTATTTCTAAAATACTGTACCAGTGTATCTTGCCTCGAGTTGAAGTTTGGCGAAGATTTTCACGTAACTCATTACACTACTGTCTCTGTCATGGTCAAAGGGAACACCATTTCCTTTCTCCCGTTAGCTCACAGCATCGAGCAATTTCGTATAACGAAAGCGAATCTTCGTTACAAAATCGTGCGTGTTTCATTGGCAAATCCCTCGAATTTTCATCCGAAAATAGAATCTCCTGTGATCGACGGATAATTAAATATTGCTCGTTTCTATATCGAGTAGAATATTCCCAGATTTCGGATACCTTTACATTTCTGTTTACTTATATATATATATATATATATATATATATATATATATATAATATTATATATAGATTATATAACATATAATCCATAATATATAATAATAATATACATAGATATATATAATATATAATATGTAGTAATATATGATATCGAAGAAGTTGCGCGTCTAAAGTTCAACCCCTCGTTTTAAAAATATTTGAAAAGTCTAACAAATCGGAATGAAACAGTGAGAGCTGTCTCAATAGTGAGACGTGTCTCGGCAAATATACGAATAAGAAACTTCCGATATCAAATCTGCTTATGGACAGAATACTTCCAATCGAAATGAAGCTCGTGCGATTTGCGCGGAACAGATATTTCTCGGCAAAAAAATGTGGAGGCGGAGGAAAAGAACAAGAAATCCCGGCGTGTACGAAGTTGGCTAAGTTCGAGTCCTGTCAGCTGGATCCTTGCATGCTGGATCCGTGCAAGCCGGAACCCACGGTGGTGATCATCGGTGCAGGGATGGCTGGCCTCTCAGCGGCGCATCGATTGTCACAATGCGGCCTTCAGAATTTTACGATCTTGGAAGCAACGGATAGGTATGCATCATGTCTGTCAGACATAGCGAACCAATGTATTATATTGTTTCATGACAATAAGAAGATTCGATTTACTCAAAGTTCGTGCAATTTCTATTATAATCGGACTGCGGATTGTACACATTTCTGGAAGAAATGGCCAAATGAAATGCAAAACAGTAAAATTGTTTAAAGGATTTTAAAATACTGTTGCATTACTTCCAACTCTAGTCCCTTGCACTATGATTCAACCACAGCTTCGCTGATTATCATCGTCCTTAATCATTTCCCTGATAATTCTAGTAATTATTATTATTACTATATCTAGTAATTATATTATCCCTAATAGTTCTAGTTTCTTGTATGTTTCAATTTACTTGAATTCCTTGATAACAAACAAGTTTGTTCCTATTTGGAATAAGGTTCATATGTAATCACGAGTCTAACTTGTTACACAGTGCAGGGATTAGGATACTTCAAAAAGGAAATAAATACTTAAGCAGTTCTTGCGTTTTGCAATCAGTTCGGACAATTTTTATTTTGCATAAAAATTCGTAGATCATGATAGCAGAGCTCGAATAAAGAAACAAATAAATGAATTCGAAGGTGACGGTGTATGATTTTTGCAGACCAGGAGGACGAATTCATTCGTGCTGGTTAGGCGACGTGGTGGCGGAAATGGGAGCCACATGGATCGAGGGTGGCTGCGTAGCGAATCCAGTATTCACCCTGGCTGCTCAAGAAGGTCTTCTGAAGCCACCTATCTTCAGGCCTGATCCGAGCCGCGGGCTTTTTTGCACGAGCGACGGCAGGGCAATCGACCTTCCAGTCAGCATCACGGCCTATCACACCTTCCGGCAAATCGAGCAACAGGCGGCAACCCTTTTCTCTCTAGGCTGTGGCCGCACCCACGGTACGTTGCTGAACTTCATGGGCGTCAGAATACAACAGGAGCTCCACAATTTCCCGGAGGAGCAACGGTACAGTTGCCCAGGTCAACTGCAAACTTTATCAGCAGTGATGTGAACGTAGTTCTGGAGCTCGGTTTAAGTTTCTGGTCTCTGACGCGACTCGATTAGGGTGTCGTCAATATTCATTGCTTCTTATTCTCACGCTTCGGCGTGTGACAGAGCTTAGAAAAAAGAAAACGTGAATCGTGTTCTTAGAATTTTTCATTTGTGAATACGAAGAGGCGCGCTCTGGATACAGTTAATTTGCGTATAATTCAGAGTTGGGCATATTTTATTCGAATAACGAATCAAATTTCTAATAAATTCTACTGATCAAATTTTATTCGATTAATATTTCGGGTAAATCCTGCGAATATAATTTTATTCGAATGATATTTCGGATAAATTTTACGAATACAATTTTATTCGAATAAATTCTACGAATACAATTTTATTCGAATAATATATCGAATAAATTCTACGAATACAATTTTATTTGAATAATATTTCGAATAAATTCTACGAATACAATTTTATTCGAATAATGTTTCGAATAAATTCTACGAATGCAATTTTATTTGAATGATATTTCGAATAAATTCTAGGAATAAAATTTCTACGAAGAATTTATTCAAAACGTTATTCGAATAAAATTTTATTACTATAATGCCCAACACTGATGTAATGTTTCGCAGATGATAATATCAGTATTGAACCACTCTAAATGTACTCTTAGGAAAGATTTTGCTGTATTATTTCTATATTTAGGAGTTGAAATGTTTAATGAATTTTAAGATGATTGATTGTATGTGCTGTTTCATTGCTAATGAGTAGACTGCGGATTTAGGCATTAATGGCAAAAATGGAAATATAGAGCAGTGAAAGGACACAAGAAATTGAGGATGTCGTCACACTTCTTTCAATTTATTAAAACTACTAGAAACAAATGCATTTTTAATTAAATTTCATATAACAAGAGTATTTTTACGAACTTGGTTATCAAGATTCTGTAGCGAACATCGTATTAAGAGATTTTACGAAAGCTGTCGAATTAAGCGCAAATGAAATGTTTAATGACACATTTAAATTCAAGACTAGGTAACATTTTATCATATATACATTATGAATGACGCTTTCCTACTTTCGAGGTAATTAATTCCTTGATAGTGAAAGCGCTGATGGTTTAGGCTTCACCTAATTCTCCTTAAGATACTCTACTTATCTGACGTGAAATTACCTATTAATGATTCATTGCGATTCCGGGCTCGCCTGTCAGGGGCTGAAGCAAATTCCAAAACTGAAATCTATACACGGCGTTCCCGAAATCACGGTACAATTTAGGACGAGCATCTTTCTAATTGATAAAGAAATTCGACGATCGTTAGAAATGAGAAAAAAATCATAAAGGAGTACCTTTAATAATTACGTTTTCGATCGTAAAAATTTTGTTACTCTAGTCGACACGTTACATCACTGCGTTTTTAATGAAACGATATCGCAGACGTTTTCCTGCGATACCGTTGATGTTCTTGTGCCTCCAGATACGATGCAGCCAGGGTGATGTATGGGATGACGAACTGCGTGAGGTGCCGTTGCGGCGATGATCTGTCTCTCGTGTCTGCTGATCAATTTGGAAGCTACATCGAGATCCCTGGTGGCAATGTCAGAGTGCCTCTTGGATATGTCGGGGTACTAGCTCCTCTGCTGAGAGACTTACCCAGTTGTTCCCTCAAGTTAGTCGATGTTAATAACAAATATTGACTACGTATCGTGCGGCCAGGCGAATCGTAAACTCTTGCGAAAAATTACCAAATATTTGAAGCCTCTATGACGAAACGTCACACAGTTTTCAATGTTGATGTTGTCCATGATAAATCGCGTACTTTTGTCATAATTATCTTTTTACGTACAGCAACTTTTTTTTATTGCGAATAAGAAAAAATATTTAGTATTCGCGTGTTTCCTTTAAATTCGACTGAATCGCTCCTAATTCTGTAGCTGCACAATAAAGCAGTTGCATAATAAAGTTTGTTGCACTACCTTATTTTGACAGTTTTTTTTATTGTTATGGACTGGTTTTTAATAGTGTACGATTTTTAACTATTACGAACTGTTTTCTTTTTTTTAATTTAT